TAGGCCTTGTGTCCACGTTTCCTCACTTGCTCACTGCTTGACATTCTTTGTACTGTACTTTATATTTGTCTTGCTGCTTGTCCTGTTCTATATCTAGCACTACATGTGAACTGGCCTTGTGGCCTTTGTTTGTGCTCGGAGTGTGGTGACGTTGTGATCCACCCTGGGCTTGTTTTTGCTTTGCTGGACTGGTCTTGTGACCCTTTGCTCTCCCCCACTTTGCCTATGGGGGTGTGTTAAGTTGTAATGTGTTATTTATATGTAGGTAGGCTGTAGTGGGTTAGCGAATACAGGGTACAAACCCAACTAGGGTTAGCTACTTGTACCCAACTGTTTCTTTCAATCCACCATTCTTGCCTAGTTCTGTTAACAATTCATTCGCGCTTAAGTGTTTTGACAACAGAACCTTATGTAAACCTGGTTTATTGCTCTGTATACAGGCAGCTCTTACATACACACAGTCTCAATCATTACAACATAGTCAACTCATATGGCCTGCCCTTATTTTTGCCAGAATACGAACACGTGGTATGAAAACAGATTCACCAATCATCCATGCACCTAAGACCAACCACACCAGGACATGTAAAGTTTGGCGTGATGGAAGACTTATCATAGTCATTATTCTCGGCACCTCCAAGGGTGCCATTGTTGACAGTGCCACTCGCCACAGGGTATGGTAGGGCTTCCACAGAAGAGCTGAGCCTGACGTAAAGACGAGCAAAGTAAGAGGCAGGATTAGCCAGCAGCGAGTCAAGCACCCAGTTAAAGCCCAAAGTGAGGAGCCTTCGTAGCTGGCACGCCCAGGCTCCAAGAGAGTGCGGTTGACTAAGGGGATAGAGATGGCTTCACTTTCTTCACCAATCCGGACGACCACGATGCCTGGCGTGGCACTATCAACTAGAGTTATGCCGGTGCAATAACGAATGTTGCGGTCGTTTGTTGTACCATTTCTTCAGGGGGGAGAAAGTGGGGGGGGGGGGGAGGGGGAGGAGGAGGGGGGGGTGGAAAGGTGGGCAGGGAGGGGAGGAATTTTTACCAAGGAACAGCGAGGGTATGGACATGCGGGTATGGATGGGCGAAGGTCACAAGAGGCTATTGGTGTGATAAGTGAGGAAGGCTGAGATGGTGAAGCGCAAATTGAGGGGAGAAGTGAGTTGAAGGAAAATTGGGGGGAAGGAAGGGAGCAAAGGGGGGGCTTACAGGAAGACGCCAAAGAATATGCACCCTGTGGCGTTGATGTTATCAGCGAGGGGGAAACTGGTGGGTTTGAGCTGTGCTCACAACGTACCTGCGGGAACTCGCAGAGAGGAAGAAAATGAAAACGTGGAAGAATGCTGGAAAAGGAACAAAGGGAGGACATTTGGGCTGCAGTTTTTCCAGTGAGCATTATAACTGGTGATGCAGAGTCAAGAGGCTGAGAAGACTGCAAGGGGGAAGCATCTTATGGAGAAGAGTGCCGAATTTGCCCTCCTTAACGCCTCCACTCGTATCTTCCTTCGGCGGTGGCTGCTGCGGCGTATCTTCCTTTGGCAACGGCACATCTTCCTTTGGCAACGGCACATCTTCCTTCCGCGGTGGCTGCGGCTCATCCTTCGGCGGTGGCTGTGGCTGTTGCGGCTCCTTGGGCTGTGGCTACGGCTGCTCGGGAACATTGCAGAGAACAGAGGCCACTGTCGCCCGCACGGAGAGCTTCTTCTTTGAGCTTGGGAACCTAAAGGGCGTGGCAAGTGGAAGCACAAGCGGTAACATTTGAGGCTCCACAAGAGTGGATCTGTGCAGAGAACAGAGGCCACTGTCGCCAGTGCTGGGAGCTTCTTCCTTGAGCTTGGGGACCTAAAGGGCGTGGCAAGTGGAAGCACAGAGATGGCTTTTGAGGCGACAGACAGCACGCTTTTTATTCCCTCCCCTCCCCTCCCTGCCCCTCCCTGCCCCTCCCTTCCTTTCCCTGCCCCTCCCTCCCCTCACAAATGAAATGAGTTACTCGTGTGTGTCCTCTCCCCTTGCCTTACACACAACCGCACCACCTAAACTCACACCACCCATCACTCACATGGTCCCAGCAATGGAGTTCCGGTTGACCATGCTGTCCACCTCCTTGCCCTGGCAGCTGGACTTCCCGAAGAGCTTCACCTGAGGGCATGCGAAACCTGCAGCCTTGCTGCTCCAAGCCACTCACATGACTGCAGTGGAGTTCCGGTTGACCATGCAATCCACCTCCTTGCCCTAGCAGCCGGCCTTTCCAAAGAACTTGACTTGCGCGCACGAGACAACCCCAGCCTTGCTTCCCGAATCCACCACGTGGCTGGAATACCCGTTACTGGAACCCCCATAGCTCGAGCCTCCACGTCCCTGCCACCACACCTGCACGCTCTTCCCCCTCGCGGCCTTTTTGGGCATGCTCACGCAGCGCTGCTTGCTGAAGGTCAGCCGCAGCCCTCCCACCGCCAATGTGGTGGTAATGGGTAGCTCAGACTCCCCACTGCTGCTACCGCCGATGCTGTTGCCAGCGCTGCTGCCGGTGGTGCTACCAGCAGTGCTGTCAACGGCTGTGCTGCCGGCGGTTGTGCTGCCAGCGGTGGTGCTGCCGGCGGTGGTCTCTAGCGCAATCCTCGCGTCAACATTGAGCAACTGAACTGCTGCAAGGACAAGAGAAGAGAAGAGAAGAGAAGAGAAGAGAAGAGAAGAGAAGAGAAGAGAAGAGAAGAGAAGAGCTGATATGAGAGAATTCCGAGCTGCTACTCAAGAATTTCGAGGAGACCCTACGCTTGCTGTGGCTCGAATCCGTGGTTTCTTGCGCAGAAGAGAGAGAGCCGATATGAGAGAGAACAACGGAGAAGGCAACAAGAGAAGGCAATGAGAGAGAAACGTTGTCTGACCGGCGACGAGGGCAAGGGCGAGCAGCAGGAGGCCGGCAGGAGAGGCGCGCATCGACCCCATGATGATTGGGTTTTCGCGGGAGAGGCGGCGGGAGTGCTGAAGAGGCTACCGAAGAGGAGCAACAGGCGCAGAAGAGTAGCTTGTGCTGTCTCGTGCAAAGGCGAGTTCCGTGCGACGATGCAACTGACAGAGCCGACAGGAGAACTTTTGCTTGAACCAACAGGACCTACAAGAGAACTTCTGCTTGACGCAGTCTAGTTTTGAGGCGCCTCAAAAGGCGAGTTCCGTGCGAAGATGCAACAAAAGGACAGAACCGACAGGAGAACTACTGCTTGACGCAAAACGACAGAGCTGGGAGAATAGCGGTGAATGCAAGCTGGGCATGCTGGGCATGCTGGGCATGCTGGGCAAGCTGGGCATGCTGGGCAAGCTGGGCATGCTGGGCAAGCTGGGCATGCTGGGCATGCTGGGCAAGCTGGGCATGCTGGGCATGCTGGGCATGCTGGGCATGCTGGGCATGCTGGGCATGCTGGGCAAGCTGGGCATGCTGGGCATGCTGGGCATGCTGGGCATGCTGGGCATGCTGGGCATGCTGGGCATGCTGGGCATGCTGGGAATGCTGGGCATGCTGGGCATGCTTACTAGAAATTAACTTTGCTGGGCTGTTGATTTATGATGCGAGTATGACAGCCGCTGCGCCATGATAGAGATATCTAGCCTACAATAATAAACTACGCGCGATGTGGCCTTGGCTCCAGTGTGAGTCACGACTCGGAGTTTGTTAAAGGTATTATTACTGATGGGAGATATGCGATGATGCGATATGCGATGGGTTTGGCTCGAGTAAATTGCGACGAGACGAAACAACTGTAAATCGCCGGATGCGTGGCGACGGCTTGGCGAGGGGTCCATATGTTAGGTGGTTCTTTGCTCGAGTGCATCGCAGGGACGGAATTCTTAGAGAGGAGGACGGGATGCATTATGTCGTTCACGAATCACAATCGATTGCACAACGCGGTACGCGTTCTCGTTCGTCGCGGCTTCCGTCCGTTAGCAGTTCCCATTCAGGTTCGGCAGTGGGGATGAGCGACTAGGCGAGATCTCACGTGACCTGCAGCTGCATTATATATGCGACTACTATGCAACTTACCTGTTGGTCGCAAGGAGAAAGCGGAAGTAGTAGCTTATTGGCATTATCAGTCGCAGAGAGAGAGAGTGGAGGTTGTCTGCATAATTAGTCGCAGGGCAAAATCGGGCCTGCCTGTTGAGTGACGCGTTGGGAAACTGTACCCGTAAGTACTGTAGTTTTATCTGTTGGTTGGGAGGACTGCCTGTTTGAGCGACGCGTTACAGGTTGCGAATCTCGCCTGGCGGACCAGTCGGACTTTTGTTGCGAATTCTCATCGTCATCAGATCCGAGTTTCGCACATCGCAGTGCTGTGGCAGCTGTGTCATTTTCGCCAGCTGTACCCTTTAACAGTATTTTCGGCAAACGTGTATGCATAAATGCACCCGAATCTAAAGCCATCTACCCAGAACGTTAGTATATCATGTGCGCTTACTTTTGTCATTATTAGACACTCACGAGTGTCCTGAGCATGTTTTCGATAGATACGTGCTTCATCATAGACATACAAGATGGCAAGGACACTAGAAAACCAGCCCTAATCTGAAACCCAAGGGAAACTAGTAGTTGCAAAATGGAAAGCCTGAGCCTTTTGGGAAAAGACATAATAGACATACATTATAATTAACAGACATACAAGACGGCAAGGACACTAGAAAACCAGCCCTAATCTGAGACCCCAGGGAAACTAGTACCGTAGTTGCAAAATGGAAAGCCTGAGCCTTCCAATTGGGAAAAGAGCACCGCACACACAGTATTCTCAGCACATTACTAAGTACAGTTACAACAGTCGATACTAAATACATACAACCCCACCAGAAAAACCCAAGCAAACAAGCATTTCTACCGTAGGTAGTACCGTAGGCATGTGCAATGGTCAGAAGGAAACAACAATGCAATCAAGCTGGTTCTAAGATGTGTCTCCATTGGCAGGAGGGGAGAATCCGATCCAGATGATACATAACACAGGGCGTAATACACAGGTGCAACCAAGTTAGACGTCAGGCGGAAAGCACATCACAGAACGGATTGGTCCAGGCGTGTTCATGTCCCTGGTGTATGGTGAAAACAAGAGGATGACAAAGAGGAGACGACGCTCAAACGTGTAAACTGGCGATTGAAGCAGCAAGGGAAGCGGGAAAGCTAGTGCAGGCGTTTCGGCGCACCAGGCAGGAAAACTAACGAACCACTTACAGCAGAGCCAGTGCAGAAAAAGGTTTAGGCGAAAAATCCAAGTAAGTGGTAGGAATAGTTGTGCCTTCACAGTTGTCCGTGCTGTACAGAGTGGCATCCTGGCACGCCGGAGTGTTGGTGGTATTCCACACGGTATAAATTGTCGTGAACTTCCCAGCCACTTCTTCTGGGTACTGCGTGCACCCATCCAGGTTCCAGCGCAGGGTGTAGGGCTTGGATGCATTGTCCGTGGCGGTTCGATTCGCGATGAGCGTGAAGCTGATAGAAGAGACTGTGGAATCGACACCTGAAGGAAAAGCAGCGCAAGGAAGGAATCGGTGGAGAATGTTTGCTTGCTTCTTTATGCAAGAGAGGAGACGAGACAGTGGGGAGAGTGAGGAGAGGAGAGAGTAGGGCGAGTGAGTAGAGGAGACAGCAGGGCGCGTGAGGAGAGGAGACAGCAGGGTGATTAGGGAGAGAGTGGAGACTCACCCTCAACACACTCGGTGTCAGTCATTCCGTACCCTTCGGGGCAATGGAGAGTAGAACGAGTGGGGCAGAGAGTGCAGGGTAGACGGTCGAAAACAGAGATCGGAAAGAGAGAGGAGAGAAGAAAAAGAGAGAGTACGCTCACCCTCAACACACTCAGTGTCAGTCATTCCGTAGCCTTCAGGGCACAGGCAGTAAGGCGCCAGCACTGAACTGTCATCGTTGGTCGGCGTGGTCTCGCAGGTGGCTCCAGTGGGGCAGGTGCCGCATGGCGAGTCTGAAAGGTGGGGTGGGGATTGGTGCAGTGCGATACGTGAGTGCAGTGCGGCATATGAGAGCAGTGAGGTATGTGATTGCAGTGCTAGTGCTGGATTGAAGCTCCAGAGGGGCAGGCGCCACAGAGTGAGGTTAAGGGAAGGGAAGCGGCATGCAAGGGAGAGGCAAGGGAGAGGTTAGGGAGAGGCAAGGCGGAGGGAGGTAAGAATGCATACATTGCAATGGGTGCCTTGACTTGACATAAAGCGGAGAGCTGTGCTCACTCACCCCACTGGCAGACAAGCTCTCCATTTTGGTCCGCCTCGCAGTGCCTGTCAGGGCCACAGCCCAACGCCAAACACTCCGCGCTTCCTGCAGTGCAGCACACAGGCAACAAGGACTCGTGAATGGGCTGCAGCACACAGGCAACAAGGACTCGTGAATGGCTGAGTCACGCCCTTCAGAATCACACCCTTCAGAATCACACCCTTCAAAATCACGCCCTTCAGAATCACACCCTTCAAAATCACGCCCTTCAGAATCACACCCTTCAAAATCACGCCCTTCAGAATCACGGCCTTCCATATCAGCTTGCGGTTTTGTCGCAGGCAGAGATGAAGCAGATCCAGCCTTCAGTCCTCCTCCACTCCTGAGGCGCTTGAGAAATCGGTCAGAATGACGCCCTTTTCTTCCGCACGTTCCTCACCTTTGGCCCCTGATGTTGATACTAGAGTTAATTTTTTCACCGACTCAAAAATAGAGCCGGCTGAAAAGTTTCGCACGTTCCTCAATTTGGCCCCTGATGTTGACCCGACAGACCGCCTCCTGCTGCCCCTCCTGTCGGCCCAGAAGAGGTCACCAGCGACCTACGGTACATCATCCTGCTCACCGTGCCGCCCCCGTACGTTGCCTTTTGAGGCGCCTCACAACTCACCTTTGGCCCCTGATGTTGATCCGACACTTCCGCCTCCTGCTGCCCCTCCTGTCGGCCCAGAAGAGGTCACCAGCGACCTACGGTACATCATCCTGCTCACCGTGCCGCCCCCGTACGTTGCCTTTTGAGGCGCCTCACAACTCACCTTTGGCCCCTGATGTTGATCCGACACTTCCGCCTCCTGCTGCCCCTCCTGTCGGCCCAGAAGAGGTCACCAGCGACCTACGGTACATCATCCTGCTCACCGTGCCGTCCCCATACGTTGCCTTCATCGTCTGAACCACTGCGGGGCAAGAGAGAGGGCGTTTAGAGAAGGAAAGAGTCTTCTGAAGCACGGAAGCGAACAAGGGAGAGCGTGTGCAGCGAAGGGAACAGGGGACGACGTGAGCGGAGGCGACGTGAGAGGCGGAGTCGTAAGAGGAAGAAAAAGAGACTAACCGGCGACGAGGGTAAGGGCGAGGAACAGCAGTCCCGCTGCAGTCAGGCCGGCAGAGGCGACCATGGAAGCCATGGTGGCGGGAGTAGAGCGGAAGATATGGCGGAAAAGGCGGCGGAAGAGGCGGAGGAGGAGACGGACAGTTGGAAACAGAGGAGCGTTTATCGAGCGAGTCCGGTGAAGAGTGCCGAGTGGTAAGTTGCCCTT